ATTAGATAAGAAAAGACTGTCTCAGCAAAAAAGCAGAACAGAGCTTTAACAATTAACCCTGATTAGGGTAAGAAATCTATTTATAACAGGCTGAAACTACTGTGTTTGCTTCAGGGTGAACCAAGGCCAAAAATAACAAACAAAAATCTAGCTACTTACAACCCCAGAGGACTGACTAAACCCTACAGCATCGTAGAATAGGGACCTAAAAGCATGTATCTAACCCTAGTTGCCGGACTTAATCAAAACAAGCAAAAGGTTAAAGAAAATGGCAGTTCACCCTTACTGTAGCAGTACTAAAACATAACATCACTAAGCAGAAATAATAACCAGAATATGGTTGAGGCTGTTACTTGCTTGTTGACAGAAACCATGATTGTACTTCGTTGTGTTGAAGTCTAGCACCAACCCCCAAAAAAATAATAAAATAGAATATGGTGAGAAGAACTCACCGTAAAATTTTACAATAAGTCTCACAAAATCAGCTCATCACTCCAAAGAAAATGACAAAGATCAAAATTAAACCACTTCTTTCAAAATTAGCCTAATTAGTCAAAACAGTAAAAGAAAACAGGTAAAAGAGTTCTTAATATTTGGCTTGGGTGTTTAGACTGCCAATGTAAACATTTGGTTGAGAACCTTCATGAGCTGAGCTGGAGTTTACATTCCAGAAAGGGACTGATGTTGTTAAACTAAGACCAAAACAAATGACAAGTTAAATTAAATGATAGATGGTCAATTTAAATGACAAGTTAAATTAAATGATAGATGGTCAATTTAAGTGACAAGTTAAATTAAATGATAGATGGTCAATTTAAATGACAAGTTAACTTAAATGATAGATGGTCAATTTATAGTTGCAGTTTCATCATCTGAGCTGCTTTTTAAGATCTAGGTAAACATGTTCAATTTGGGGTTAAAAACAAACATTTTCACATATTTTCCATGTAGTTTTTTGCCAGTTCCTCCTCTGAAAGGTAGACAATTGTTTTTCTCTTTCCCTCAGAAAATCTTAATGTTCTCCTAGTTTGGCCCAGCACAGTTCACTTCCCAATAGCAGCAACAGCCTTATATCATAACCACATAAGTGGAGAAAATGTTCAGTAGCAATGAGAGAATTTGCTGTTGCGTTTAAGTGATGTTAACTATTATTTAACATTCAAACTTATTTTCTGATTTTATTTATTTATTCTAAAAACCCTGGTAAGGGATGTTTTTCTGTATTTGGAGCATCAGAAAAAGTTTTATGGTGGAGGTGATGTTTTAAAGTCACTGAGAAACTGCATGCATGCAGTTTGTTGTTTTGCTGCTAATACAGTAGCAGGTGCAGCTGCTAATACAGTAGCAGGTGCAGCTGCTAATACAGTAGCGGGTGTAGCTGCTAATACAGTAGCGGGTGTAGCTGCTAATACAGTAGCAGTGCAGCTGCTAATACAGTAGCGGGTGTAGCTGCTAATACAGTAGCAGTGCAGCTGCTAATACAGTAGCGGGTGCAGCTGCTACTGTATTAGCGGCTGCTAATACAGTAGCAGGTGCAGCTGCTAATACAGTAGCGGGTGCAGCTGCTAATACAGTAGCGAGTGCAGCTGCTAATACAGTAGCGGGTGCAGCTGCTAATACAGTAGCGGGTGCAGCTGCTAATACAGTAGCGAGTGCAGCTGCTAATACAGTAGCAGGTGCAGCTGCTAATACAGTAGCGGGTGCAGCTGCTAATACAGTAGCGAGTGCAGCTGCTAATACAGTAGCGGGTGCAGCTGCTAATACAGTAGCGGGTGCAGCTGCTAATACAGTAGCGAGTGCAGCTGCTAATACAGTAGCGGGTGCAGCTGCTAATACAGTAGCGGGTGCAGCTGCTAATACAGTAGCGGGTGCATCTGCTAATACAGTAGCAGTGCAGCTGCTATTACAGTAGCGGGTGCAGCTGCTAATACAGTAGCAGGTGCAGCTGCTAATACAGTAGCGGGTGCAGCTGCTAATACAGTAGCAGGTGCTAATACAGTAGCAGGTGCAGCTGCTAATACAGTAGCAGGTGCAGCTGCTAATACAGTAGCGGGTGCAGCTGCTAATACAGTAGCAGGTGCTAATACAGTAGCAGGTGCAGCTGCTAATACAGTAGCAGGTGCAGCTGCTAATACAGTAGCAGGTGCTAATACAGTAGCAGGTGCAGCTGCTAATACAGTAGCAGGTGCAGCTGCTAATACAGTAGCGGGTGCAGCTGCTAATACAGTAGCAGGTGCAGCTGCTAATACAGTAGCGGGTGCAGCTGCTAATACAGTAGCGAGTGCAGCTGCTAATACAGTAGCGGGTGCAGCTGCTAATACAGTAGCGGGTGCAGCTGCTAATACAGTAGCGGGTGCATCTGCTATTACAGTAGCAGTGCAGCTGCTATTACAGTAGCGGGTGCAGCTGCTAATACAGTAGCAGGTGCAGCTGCTAATACAGTAGCAGGTGCTAATACAGTAGCAGGTGCAGCTGCTAATACAGTAGCGGGTGCTAATACAGTAGCAGGTGCAGCTGCTAATACAGTAGCGGGTGCAGCTGCTAATACAGTAGCAGGTGCAGCTGCTAATACAGTAGCAGTGCAGCTGCTAATACAGTAGCAGGTGCTAATACAGTAGCAGGTGCAGCTGCTAATACAGTAGCAGGTGCAGCTGCTAATACAGTAGCGGGTGCAGCTGCTAATACAGTAGCAGTGCAGCTGCTAATACAGTAGCAGGTGCAGCTGCTAATACAGTAGCGGGTGCAGCTGCTAATACAGTAGCAGGTGCAGCTGCTAATACAGTAGCGGGTGCAGCTGCTAATACAGTAGCAGTGCAGCTGCTAATACAGTAGCAGCTGCTAATACAGTAGCAGGTGCAGCTGCTAATACAGTAGCAGTGCAGCTGCTAATACAGTAGCAGGTGCTAATACAGTAGCGGGTGCAGCTGCTAATATAGTAGCGGGTGCTAATACAGTAGCAGGTGCAGCTGCTAATACAGTAGCGGGTGCAGCTGCTAATACAGTAGCAGGTGCAGCTGCTAATACAGTAGCAGTGCAGCTGCTATTACAGTAGCGGGTGCAGCTGCTAATACAGTAGCGGGTGCTAATACAGTAGCGGGTGCAGCTGCTAATACAGTAGCAGTTGCTTGTAGGCCTTGAGGCGCTCGAAGGCTTTTTATAACAAAAGAAAAAAACAAACCAAATGAAGGTTTAAGGTGGCCACCATAAACAACAAGGGAAAAACAAAGCCAGTTTGAGTCACCTCAGTTGTGACTTTCTCATTTCTCTTCATACTTCTAAACAGTTTAACAGAATATCAGATATCTGAGAGATTCTAATGATGACAACCGTTGTTTTGGAATACCCCATCTGCAGTTTTGAATTCAAACAGGCACTACGGGCCTCTTTTATACCCGGGCTTTAGGTTGTCATCACCCGAAGTCCCCGTCTAGATATGAAGATTTGGAAAATTAGTAATCCCAGAAAGTATAAAAGAAAAACCCAATACACAGTTAACTGCAAATAAAAGGTCAATAGAATGGAGTCATTTACATGATAGCAGGGGAACAGTGTGAAATCTAGATTGCTTTAAACCAACTTTTCATCCTTAGTCATAACCATCCACCATAAATAAATAAAATACTCAGGTCACAAGAGCAATAAGTAATTAATAGTTGTGCCACTTTTATTTTGATTATTTGCAGGATCCCTTTCAACTCTTATTTTGTTTTTATTTTAGGATAAAACTACAATTTGGAGACCTCTTTTCGACTGTCATTTTGATTTTTAATTTTATTTTATAGCCCTTCGGCTGTTACTCAATTGATAAGATATTATTTGGTCATTAATAACCAGGCGCAGTGACGATGTGGCTTAACCTGCACGCGGATAAGTCGGCTTTCTAGCCTCTGAGGGCTTCTATAATTCCCCCTGTTCTGGGGACAGGAGGTGGAAATGTGGCCCATTGGATTTTGGCTCCCTCCCACGCTTATCGACCAACGCTAAATTGCCCCCAAACCTCCCTTGGAACCCCAGCCAATTCTTCACACACACACAGACAGCGAAACGGCTGCCGACCCTGTTTTCCCCAAAATCCCAGCCACGCAGACACACAGACAACATTTTCTCCACACACGTACTCAAACAGGCTCAAAGCCTCAGTTACACACACACACACAGCAAACCGACAGCCGAACCTGTCACATGTAACACTCTCAAATTCCCCGATACACGCACACACCCCCACACACACACCCCCGAACCAGGCTCAAAGCTTCGGCCACACACACACCTCTCTTTCTCATAGAAACCAGGTCAAAACTGGAGTTTTCACACACCCAGATGGAGCAAAGGACAGCTGAAACTCCAACACAGAGCTCCGGCACATTAAACCCACAAAGCCACACAGACAGCAATGATCAGCAAGCGGCGGACGAAACCAACAGGCACAACACCAAAACCAATGAGAAGCACACAAATCATGAAGCAATATGAGTGATTTTTAGTTCGACTTGAGGTTTTAATTCAAAAGCAACGGTGTCCAAAACGTTTGTACCTCTGCAGCACTAGGAAAACGTTAAATAATCCAAACGACAGTGTGATTATAAGAGACTCTTTTAATTCAAAAACGCCAGCACACAGCCATCAGCCAGCACTGTGTCTATATAACGCCAGTGGCGCTATTATGTCATATATTAATTGTTTTGTTTATTTCCATAAGTTCCAACAGTCTGCAGTTCAGAGCACCTTTCAACCTTCCCCAGTAGCGCTGGACCTCCTGTATAGTCCGTTTAATACAGGTCGGGTCCAACAGCCGGGTTTAGGCGCGACTCAGCGGCTACGTTCTGTCTTTTTCAACTCTTTTCAATCGAGACCGTCCAGAGCCCTCCTGCTGAAACACGGAACGTCTCCTGTGTTCGGAAGGCAGACAAACGGAAAACACACTGTCAAGTCAACCAGCTTTTTATATTGCTGCAAAAAAGAGGTACTCACTCACTCATCCAATCCCCCCTGCGCCGCAGAGTCACCCCGAAGTCCGACGCGTGCGAGACAGCAGCAGAGAGGACGCCCCCGGAGCCATCCAGCCAGCCGGGAAGCAATCCCAGCCCCCCCGGACCGAAGCATGAAGTGGCACCCGGAGACGACCCCCGAGCAGCCGAACTGCACGACTGGTTTCACGGCACCAAAATGTTAGGTAGTTTTATTTTCCCATCCAGGGTTACCTTAGGGAAAGTTCAACACGCCGGCGTTATATTAATAAGCCGATCGATTCACCCATACCAATCTTTACTAACGATAAACAATTTAGACTTTGCAAAGTGGAGAGAGATAAAATGATACACACGAGTCGGTAGTCAATTCGCTCTCATCAGACAGAACCCTCAGAAAGCATTTATTAAGGACACACAAAAATGGTAAACGCACACACATTTACACACACACATGGAGAGGTTCTCACAGCCTCTCAGTGAGGAAGGAACACCAGGTACAGGTTTTACAACAACAGAGCCGTCTGACCCATAACCCAGAGTACTGCTGATAAGTTCTGGTACTGAGTGCAAGGTCAGTCCTCCCTGTTGGAGGAATAGAAGCGGATAAACAATGAACCTTCGTTTAACCTCCAGATGTCAAACCATTAAAGACATTATTAACAGTAAAATATCAGTTTTTTTCCAACAGGCAGCAAGGAGGAGGAGGCAGGGCAGGGTGTTTACAGCTAGGGATGAGCGTACGGATAAAGATTTTTGACAAATACGAGCATGAAACGAGTGTAAAACTCGTAAATATCTGTAATCGTGATGAAGGAAAATCCTCACTGGGTAACTGACTGTCTTCACGCTCTGTGATTGGTCAGTCACATAGAGCGCCCGCCCCTCCCTACACACAAAACTCAGCAGCTGGGAGCTCAGTCAGCTCGGCCCAGGCATCCACGCACGCATGCAGACAGTAAGCCGGGCGTACACTGTGCGACTTTTTCACTTTTTTGAGCAGATTTTCCAGTCGTGCGAGAATCCACGAGATCGGGGCAAGTTTTGCGCTGAGAGTCGTGTAGTGTACAGGGGGTTACGAGAGGCGATTAACACCACGTGACCAGCTACCGATCAGCAATCGTGAGCTCGCACGGACTTCTGGCGTGTTTAATATTTTGCTCGTCCCTCGTGAGGGTATCGCACTGTTGAAGCGGCGCTGTGAGCGGCTGCGACCCAATAAGTATCAGAACCGCTCACGCCGCATGCGCAATCCTGCATCAACACCGCTCGCCCTCTATTTCCCTAATAACACACGTTGTTCGTTTTTATTTCTACACTTTTTTTTTTTACTCACAAAGATTGTCAAGAAAGCGTGTTTGTCGTGTTCATGTCAAATTAAACTGATCACAAAACACAGATTTACTTTCTTTATTTCGTTTTCCTCATCCAACCCCCATAAATCCCTGTGTGTCCTCCTGCAGCACTCCCGAAGGACAACAGGCAAGACAAGACAAAAAAGTCTGATGTGTTGAGTAAAAACTGCTATTTTTAGCATATTTTTTAGGGCCGACGTGTTGCTACCAGATGTACAGTGTGAGCAGTCAGGTCGCATCCGAGAACTGGGACGTACAGTGTGAGCACATGACTCGTGAGATCTGCCCTGCGAGGAAGTCGTACAGTTTGAGCTGAAGCTGAGAGCTATGACTGAAAAAGTCGCTCTGTCATGTTCTGAGGTAATGATTTAACCCAAGACATGCAGAATCAATACACTGGAGCAGGATGTGAAAAAATAAAGATTTATTGGGTAACTAGAACTCAGGGTGAACTGGAAACCCAGTGAATGGGTTAACGGGAGCAGCGTCTGAGGGGAGGGAAACAGAGGTGAGTCCTTGATTGATACTGTAGTACGGTAGAGGATGAGCTTGGTAGGAGGACTTACAGACGTAGCATGGTGGAGGATCTCCAGGGAGGGGTGAGCTGGGAGAGTGAATGAGTGTTCCGGGATGAAGAAGAGCGGCGAGGTTTTACAACCGGAGGGGAGGAGAGAGAGAGCCAGTAGTGCTGGGAGCAGTTAGTGCCGTGAGGAGGACGGGAACCGGGAGTGAAGTCCAGAAGTCGTATGGTCGGGTTGTAAATCCAAAAACTCACAGCGAGGATGTGATGTATGGAGAGATGACTGAGCCAGTAAGGCGTAATCATCTGGCGGCTTAGCAGTGTCCTCCGTCCTCCTTATGAAGGCCAACCGCTGATCAGCTGATTGATCACAGCTGCTGCTCTCTCTGCTGAAATCAGAGAAACTCACAAGACAGGTGATGTCATGGTGTGTGTGGAGTGCTCACCTCCCAGCTCACAACACGCACAGTGTCCGCCCAGCTTATTATAATGTTCACTGTAATGCATCTTGATGTTCTTAACAAATAAATTAAATCAAAGATATTGGTCAATAATGCCAAATATGTAAATTTGTGTTTCAGTCATTTTTATACTGGCTTAAAAATACTTCATTAAGTCTACTAAGCAGGGGTGTAGAACGTGTTTAATAGGGCCAGCGACATGCTGCTCCTGAGACGCGGCCGACTCGCGCTGCTGACGGCTCCGGTGGAAAAGGTTCTGTTGACCACAGCGGTTCCTATCAGCAGCTATGACATGCTGCTGCAGTAACGTGCTGCTGACGGCTCCGGTGGAAAGAAGGGGTTACACACCTGCTTAGACTCTATCAAAACCTGGATGCTGGGAGCTTTCTTCAGCTGAATGAAGATAAGACTGAGATCCAGACAAGCTGGTTCCCAAAGTCAGAGACTCCCTTGGTCAGCTTGCTTCCCACACCAAACCTTCCGTCAGGAATATTGGCGTGACCTCTGACCCAGCTCTCACCCTGGATTCTCATGTCAGTTCTCTTGTTCGCTCTTCCTTCTTCCATCTCAGGAACATTACTAAGCTGAGTCCCATTCTGTCCCGCTCTGAACTTGAGACTGTTCTCCATACCTTCATCTCCTCACGCTTAGACTACTGCAACTCTCTTTTCACGTGTCTGAGCAGAACCTCCCTGAACCGTCTACAGGTGGTTCAGAACGCCTGTGCTCGGCTTCTGACCAAGTCCTCCAAACACACCCACATCACCCCGCTTCTCCTCCAGCTTCACTGGCTGCCAGTCAACTTCAGGGTTCATTTCAAGATCCTGGTTCTGGTCTATAGGGCCTTACATGGACAAGCACCATCTTACATTGGTGATCTTCTTAGTCCCTACACCCCCAGCAGGTCCCTGAGGTCCAGTGATCAAAGCCTACTGGTTGTGCAGCACCAGGCTAAAGACCAAAGGTAATTTGCTGCTGTGGCCCCCAGACTCTGGAACTCTCTTCCCCTGAGTCTGAGATCAGTGGACTCAGTGGTCTCCTTCAAAAAGCAGCTGAAGACTCACTTGTTCAAGCTGGCTTTTGTATGACCTTCTTCACCACTCTCTCTTTATTCTGCTCTCCCCACCTATTCCACCTTCCTCAGGATCCACTGATTTCCCTCTTTCCTTTTCACTCTCTCTTTCTTCACATTTAATCACAATTGTCTATTTTTTGCTCATTTGAAATATATTTTCAATCATTTTCTAAATTCTTTTTTATATTTACATTTTTTGTTTTTGTGAAGCGCCTCGTGATTTTTATCTTGAGAGGCGCTATAGAAAAGATCTTTTCTTCTTCTTCAAAGTTGCAGCAATGTTCATAAAATTTCTGCAATTACGAGCCACTGCTTTAAAATACTGGTGCTTACTTTCAAATCTCATACACCATAACAAATGCAGAGGGCCAAACATTTCAATCATTGGTTGTAATTATATCCTCAGAAATACTTAAAACAGAATGGTTGTAGCCCATAATGGTAAATTACCAAAGTTAATCATAAAGCTTTCAAAACTTAATCACTGTAGTAAAGGTCTATAAAAAGATAGATATTAGTGTCAAAGAGAACTAAAAATGTAAATCAGTGAAGTTAGTAATCAACCTACATGTGAATGTACCCATAAGGAAAAACGATTAGTGAAAATAATAAAAAAAATTTGGATAACAGTAATATGTGGACTAAACCCATCTACTGTTAACTACCTGATTACCGGACTTCAGGAACCCACAGCATGTTCATCTCAAATCACCCAAGTCTGCACATCATGTATAAACAGGAAAGACAACCATGCACACACACAAACATAGGCAAACTTCTGTAACTCGACAGAGAGCTATGGAACCGACGAGGCGCGAAATCACCCCCGTTTCGATGTTGGTAAGTTGTTGGTGGTAGCATTGAACAAATTAGTGGAACCCTTGTGCAGTTTGATTTGGTCCCTGTGGACCCATTTGTAGACGGGCTCCTTGTTTGTTTGGGTAATCTTGATGTGATACACGACTGGAGAGAGCTTATCAGTTATCAGGTATGGGCCTGACCACTTCGGCAAAAGTTTCTTAGCCAACTTCCCAGAGGTGTTCTTGGTGTTACCAGTTTTAGGAGCGAAAATGTAGAACCAGGCCTCATCACCTATGTTGAGTTCAGATTGTGAGGCCCTCTGATCATAATAAGCCTTCCTGCCCTCAGCTGATTTCTCCAGATTTGTTTGTGCAAACGAGAACGCTGGAGGCAGATGGTTCTTCAGGTTCTGCAAATATTGTTCTCTCATGTAAGCCGGGTCGGCCTCGGACTGAACTGGCTGGTACTGCAGGTGAAGTGACAGGGTCATTTGTCTACCCGTCATCATTTCAAATGGGGAGACACCAGTAGACTCATGAGGGGTGGCCCGTATGGCCATGAGGACCAACGGAAGCTTCACATCCCAGTCTCGGTGTTTAGAGGACACGTACTTCCTCAATATGCCGACAACCGTCCGGTTCATCCTTTCAACCTGGCCAGAAGAATGGGGGCGATGGCTAATGTGGAAATTGGCCTTCACATCCAACAGTTTCCAAAGATGTGCCATCACTTAAGAGGTGAAGTTGTCGCGTGCACGTCCCATTTGTCGGTTCCGTTAAAACCCAGTTCCGTTAGAACTTATGAGACTGTGCATCTTTCAGGGTTCGGTGGGGATATCGGTGAGTTTTATCGTACTAGACCCTGGTCTGGACTTCTTAAGTTAGAATCATATCTTCTATTTTAAAGGTGAAATGATATGCAAGACTTGTCCCTTTGTAATAGCCCACTTCTTTTTAATCAATCCCGTTATTTTTTGGTTAAAATACTAGGGACGAAGCCCGGCGGGAGGCCATCCCTTCCGGCAGTTATTTGGGTTATTTGGATTAATTTGCGCCCCTATCAGCTTATGTGGATGGTTGGTAACTATAAAATGATTCTTGTTAATTGATCAGACTAACATAGATTTATCAATTTATCTAATTAATCCAACCTTCCAGCGCTGATAGAGACTTTTTCACACTTGCGAATCGGAGCCAAAATTAACCTCTAATGTTTTGGTTTTATCATCCTTAAGACATCTCGTTACTCGCGGGTGAGGAAGGAGACAAGCTCCTTTTATCTTAAGGTTTCTTTATATTAATCTGTCACAAACCGTAAAGCAAATCCTGATAATTCAGGAACCTATAATTAATATGCTTATCTCTGCAATAATGGTCAGGGCTGCCAATGGCCCCTTCAAAGAGGAACTCTTTAAGAATCAGGAATGTAGATTCTTTTTCAAAAAGTTTATTACAAGATTAAAAAATACAAAAATGAGTAAATATAAAATTAACTGCTTCCCCCAAGGAGGAATTAGTTCTAATGATTAACTAAGAAAGAAGGAGTTGATTTACACCAACTCGGTCTTCTGTGGATCACCCCAAACTTCTCTCTGCTTCTCTCCAAAAAATGACCTGTCATCCCCCGTCCAGAGGACGCAGGATGACCTCTCCAAATCTGCTCTGTCTCTCTCTGTCGTCTGCCCCAGCTCCTGTCGAATCTCTCCAGCTCTCTCAGAGCTGCTCTTTTATACCCTTCCTGGGCCAGCTTAGACAAGGTAAAAAGTCACATATATCATTACCTCATGACAGTGAGGTCATGGGGTCATTTACCAGATACACACTTTTTAGCTCAACACAAGACATTTGGTATCATTTTCACTACATGCAGCATTCTTTTTAACACAGGTCATTACATGCAGCACTCTACATGAGGGCACAGATCACTACATCATCAGGTTTGTAGCAAATTGTAGGTCTTCCTTCAGCATTCCTGAGAGGGCTTCTTGATCCAAACGGGCTGTCTTCACTCTGTTCCAGTCCTTCTTTTCCCGCCAGGGGTGGATCCAGGGGTGGAGCCAGAAGTGAAGCCAGACTGCCTCCTGACCTTTTGCTCAGTTCTGTCCTCTTGTCCCTGTGACCCTTCTGTGACCCTCGTTCCTGACCACAGTTTTCAACCTGCAGCCCAGTTTTTCTCCCAGCTTAGATGCTTGTGCAGCTGGGCTCCTGTCTTCTGGCTGATTTTACTCGCATAAGCCAGTTCGGTGTGTTTCAGTGTGGGTCCAACCTTATCTCTGTGGCCCACCTTTTGACCCCGTTTCTTGCCACTGTCTTTGGCATGCGGGGACTGGCAACAAAGTGAGTACCCCTGTCCGAGTCAACCCGAGTGGGAAGACCGAACCGGGCGAAGATGTGATTCATCAAGAGAATAGCTGTTGTTTTTGCCATGTCATTAGGTGCTGGTAGACATCCAACCCACTTGGTGAATGCACAGGTCACGGTCAAGATGTATTTATTACCCCTGCTGGACCTGGTCAGAGGCCCCACCCAATCAAATTGCAAATCCAACCATGGTGTGGACGGTCCCTTTCTCTGTAGGGGAGCTCTGTGTGCGGGGTTGGATGGCTGAAACTGACAACAAACCAAACAACGCTGGATGTGATCTGAGACGTCGCGACTCATCCCCGGCCAATAAGCAGCCTGGCTCAGGGCACCGAACGTGGCCTTGACACCTATGTGTCCGGCGGAGGGAGAATTATGAGCTTGCGTGATCATGCCCCCCCCCCGTGACTGTGGCACCACGAGGACAGGCGGCAAAGGCAGCTTGGAGGCGTGCATCAGCAACCCTT